CCGAGCCTCACTGAGGTCCCCGGGAGCCCTCAGGAGGAGCTGCTGTTTGGCATGGCTGGGAGCTCCACCTCAGTTTCCCCTCTTTCCGAAGTCATCTCTTAGGGGTTGTTTTGTTTGTTTTTGAGACAGAGTCTTGCTCTGTCACCCAGGCTGGAGTGCAGTGGTGTGATCTCAGCTCACTGCAACCTCCACCTCCCGGGTTCAAGAGATTCTTCTGCCTCAGCCTCCCAAGTAGCTGGGATTACAGATGCCCGCCACCACGCCTGGCTAATTTTTGTATTTTTTAGTAGAGACAGGGTTTCACCAGGCTGGTCTCGAACTCCTGACCTCAGGTGATCCGCCTGCTCAGCCTCCCAAAGTGCTGGGATTACAGGCGTGAGTCACCGCGCCCAGCATCATCTAGGGGTTTTGAACTCTTTGTCCAAACAGCCATGTTCTAGAATAAAGGACAAAGTCAAGGCCAAAAGACCGTCAAGCCCAGTCAGGGCCGAGGAGCTCAGGGACCCCCAACCCCAACCCTGCTTCCCCTAGCAGAACGGCAGAAGAAGAAGGCAGTGTCACGACCAGGAGGCATCTGGGCCCACGTGAGTGGTCCAACCTTCTGGACCCCTGGGGCGCCCGCCCCACCCCTGCTCACCGCCGTGATCTGTGATCCAGCTCCACCGTTTTACCCTTTAAGAGCTGTCGAACCAGGCACAGCGAGAGGCAGGCAGGTCGAGCCAGGGAGTTCCAGACCAGCCCGGTCAACACAGCAAGGCTGTCTCTGCTTAAAAAAATGTTTAAGAGGGAATGATAGACCGTGGAATCACAGAGCATGCACCCTTTGGAGTCAGGGTTTTCTCACCAGCCAAGGCCCTTGAAGTTGTGCGGGTTGCCTACACACGGATGCTACCTCCTTTTTTTTTCTTTTTTTTTTTGAAGATGGAGTCTCATTCTGTGGCCCAAGCTGGAGTGCAGTGGCATGATCTCGGTTCACTGCAACCTCTGTCTCCTGGGTTCAAGTGATTCTCATGCCTCAGCCTCCTGAGTAACTGGAATTACAGGTGTGTGTCACCACACCCAGCTAATTTTTGTATTTTGAACGGAGACGTGTTTTCACCATGGTCGCCAGGCCTGTCTCAAACTCCTGACTTCAAGTGATCCGCCCGCTTCGGCCCTCACGGTGCTGGGATTCCAGGTGTGAGCCACCGCGCCCAGCCGGATCCTGGCCTCTTCACGGTGCTTGCTCCTCAGGCTGTCTGCACGGGGTCGGCTCACCACCCACCTGGGGGGAGAGCGTTGTTTCAGGTGTGGAACTACTAAAATGAAGCTGCCAGCGAGTGTGTGAAGTATTTATTTCTCTGCGATGGACGCCCCAGAATGCGACTGCTGCCTTCCATAGCACCTGCATGTTCCAATTTTTAAGGAACTGCCAAGGGCTCTCTAGGGGCCGCACCACTCCACACCCCCAGCAGTGCATGAGGGACCAGCTGTGGCTGTCAAATCCTGGTCATCTGGACAGACAGTGGCATCTCCTGGTGCTCTGAATCCACAGCCCACTAGCCAACATTGCACACTGTATTTACAAATGCATATGTTCTAACTCCTTTGCAAACACTTTGAATTAACAAAATCTTCCCCACTAAATCACTGGTATACCTCCAGACTCATTAAAAGTATAGTTTATTCCTAAAATCTCTTAAGTTTTTCAAGACCCTACATAAATGTAGTAAGATTCCACTTCAACTACAGAGCCTAAATAATTTCCTCATTTGAACGATGATTCAGCAGCAAAGCCGCCTCTCTCTCAGGACAAGTTCTCTTCAGCACTATGAATGCTGGGCTGGGCACGGCAGCTCACACCTGTGGTCCCAAGGCAGGAGGAGGATCCTTGAGCCCGGGAGGTCGAGGCTGCAGCGAGCTATGATGGCACCGCCACACTCCTGCCTGGACGACAGAGCAAGTCCTCATCTCAAAAACACACCCGCCCCTACAAAACCCCACACATTACAAACATAAAATAGGTTATATTTTAATACAAACAATACTAGTGCACAACTTAGTTCCCCAACCCTCCCATACCGAATTTGAAATCTCCAGGGAGGAAACTCCTGTTCAGGGACACAAACAGCCCAGTCGGCAGAGGTGGGTGCCCTCAGCCCCAAGACGTCTGTGGGGTCTCTGGTGTGATCTGCGGGCACCTGCGACTTACGATGCTTCCCTGTGGCCTTCAGACCTAGCATCCCCGCTATAACCTGAGTATGGCATTCAGCCCAAGCGGCCCTTAGGGTAGTAAACGTCCTTTCTGTTTTAGTCTAGAGATTGTCGTTCAACTTGATGCGACCCTAAGATGTCCTTACGTTTCCACCTGGCCTACTGGAATCCTGCACCCTTTCATGTTCTCGGGAACGTGCACCCCGTGGGGTTCCTCAGGAGACTCCAGGGACATCTCGTGTGGCCTCATCTCCCTTCCCCAGGGAGAGGACTAGCTATCCACTGCCCGCCTGGCAGACGAGGGAATGCCCAGTGCCCAGGCAGCTGCTGTCAGGTTGGCCCAGGCCTGTAGGGGCTCTGCTCCCAGAGGTCGGGTGGGTGCCAGTCTCAGAGCACAGTTTGGCAGGTGCAGGGCGGGCCCTGTTGGGGCCTGCAGCCCAGGCCCAAGGCACACACGCCCATGCACTGCACAGCTTCCTGCAGCCCCAGGGCTTTGCCCTCTTCCCCCTGACAGGGGCCAACGTGTGGAGAGGTGCAGACCACCGTGAGTGATGGAACAAGGGGCGGGGACACTCGTGCACCAAGCTCCAGCATAAGGACGCGGTCACCCAGGGTCACAGTCCCAGGCCAAGCCAAGGGGTAGGGACCTTTTTTTTTTTTTTTTTTTTTTTTTTTTTGAGACGGAGTCTCCCTCAGTGGCCCAGGCTGGAGTGCAGTGGCTGGATCTCAGCTCACTGCAAGCTCCGCCTCCTGGGTTCACGCCATTCTCCTGCCTCAGCCTCCCAAGTAGCTGGGACTACAGGCGCCCGCCACCTCACCCGGCTAGTTTTTTCTATTTTTTAGTAGAGACGGGGTTTCACCGTGTTAGCCAGGATGGTCTCGATCTCCTGACCTCGTGATCCACCCGTCTCGGCCTCCCAAAGTGCTGGGATTACAGGCTTGAACCACCGCGCCCGGCCGGGGTAGGGACTTGAAACTGACACAGCAGCTTCTGCACCTGTGAAGTGAGCTGGGAAATGCTGGTCTTCAGGAAATAGTCAAGAAAGTGGACGCCAGGCATGGTGGCTCACGCCTGTAATCTCAGCACTTTGGGAGGGCCAGGCGGGAGGACTGCTTGAGCCCAGGAGTTTGTGACCAGCCTGGGCAAAACAGACTCGTCTCTACAAAAAATAAAGAAATATGTGCCAGGCATGGTGGCAAACACCCGTGGTCCCAACTACTCTGGAGGCTGAGGTGGAGGATCACTTGAGCCCAGGAGGTCCGGGCTGCAGTGAGCCTCGATCACACCACTGCATCCAGCCTGGGTGACAGCGTGACACCCTGTCTCAAACACACACACACAAAAAGGAAGTGGAAACACTGGCTCAGCTCCACGATAAGGTGCCGCAGACGACAAGAGCCCGTGGCACAGACTCGACTCCGAGAAGGGGACCGCGACTGTGTCCTCCCCGTGGTCCTCAAACGTCGCCCAGGACAGGTTCCTCTTAATGGGGCCGACACACAGAAGCTGCACATCCGCGGGCGCATGGCCGGAAACCCTGCAGCTGTCAGCGAAGCCCTAGTGCTGGGCGCCCACGCCCAGGCGTCCCACGGCCAGAGGCACTGGTGGTATCAACTCCTCCACAGAGGCCCCGAGGGAACCCTGGGATGGACCCTCAGACAAACATTGTCCTTCTAAAGAGAAGATATAAGCGTGGCTTCCCCACCTGTCCCCAATACTCCTGTTTAGAAAACATCCTCACGCTGTTAAGATGGGAGCTTTATTTCCATTGAAATCTCTGGCATTTAAACTTGGGAGGGAATCCGGAAGCGGCGTCCACCAACGGGGAACAACCCCAGAGAGCACGCAGGGTGGGCCTAGGAGCTCCCGGGAGCCAAGGGAGCTGGAGGGTCTGGGGGTTTGGGGGGTCTGAGGGGTTGGGGGATCTGGGGGGGTCCTAGGGGGTTGGGGGGTCTGGGGGGGTTGGGGGCCCCGGGACACCTGCAGCGCCCCCCAACCCTGTGCGCTGGCCCAGCCAGGAGAGGGCCCGGGGACACCGACAGGACCCAAGCCTTTGATGAGCGGACGGACGCCCCCAGTTGCTTCGGGGAGCTCCTTTAAAGGTGTTCGCCGAAAGCTGCGAGAGCCGCGGGACGCACAGAGCGGTCCTTTTCCTCCGAGGGTGGCTCAGAGGCAGAGTCCCGGAGAAACCCACGCGCCCGGCCTGTGCGGCAGCGACGCCACCCGGACCCCGGGACAGCGAGACTCACGGGGGAGCGTCCTGAGGCCGCAGGGCCCTGGCCCGTCCGAGATGCGGAGCCCCGGGAGCCCTCCGGGTCCCAGCCGTCCTAGCCCCGCACCCGAGCCGGGGTCTCTCCCGCCGCGCTCCGACCCCGGCAGCCGAGGTCCCAGCACAGGCGCCGGCCGCGGACCTCGGGCGCATTTGGCGGCGGCTCGCGAGGCGCTCGGGGCGCTCCGTGGGTCTGGAGGGCGGGGGCTCCGCGCGCCCGCGGCCAAACCTGGTGCAGACGAAGCCGAAGCCGAAGCCGAAGCCGAAGCCACCGCCCCGGCCGCCCCCAAACGCTCCGCCTCCGCCTAAACCTGCGGAACACTAAGGACGCCGACTGTTGGGCCGTCGCCCGGGAGACCCCGACGACGCCCCGCCCCGTCTCCCGGCAACGCCAAGCAGCCGGCGCGCGAGGAATCCTGGGGAATGTAGTCCCTCCCTATCTGGGGGGGTGGCCCGAATCGTACGCCGGGTCTTCCAGAACTACATTTCCCAGGGCGCTCCGCGCCCCGCCCCGGCACCCCACCCACGGCCTCGCGCGACGGTACCACCGGGCGAGGGCGGCTCTCGCGCGGACCTCCGGGAGTTGTAGTTTTCTGTGGGAGCTGCGGGGCCTGGCGCCGGGGCCGGGGCGGAAGAAAGACTACAAGTCCCAGGGGGCGCGGCGCCGCCGCCTGAGGGCGGGGTGTACGAAAGAGAAACTCGGAGGCCGCCCGGGTGAGTGAGGGGCTGGGGGCGGGCGTGAAGGCAGCCGGTGGGGGCGCCGGGGTCCGTCTGGGCGGCTGGGTCGGCGCAGGGAGCGCGAGAGGCAGACAAAGGTCGGCGGCCCCGGCCCGGCCCGAGGGACGCCCCCTGCACGTCCCCCATCGTTCAGCGCGCGGAGAAGCCGTCCGCGCCTGGGCCCGCGTCCTCGTCGCCGCCTCCCAGCAAGCCTGGCCGCGTCCTGTTGGGGAGAGGCGCCCAGGCCGAGCGGGACGCCTGGGGAGGGGAAGGGGCGTCTGAGGAGGGAAGGGGGAGCCCAGGGAGGGGCGGGGAGGGGGTCCCGGGACAGGGGAGGGGGTCCCTGGGGAGGGGAGGGGCTCCCGGGACAGGGGAAGGGGTCCCTGGGGAGGGGACAGGACGGGCCCCCGGGAGAAGAAAGGAGGCGCGCTCGCCTCTCCTTCCCCGCAGCCGGGAGTGGGGGCCCCGGCGGTCCCCGGTGTCCTAGAAGTCGGCCACGATTCGGGTCTTTTTCCCGCGAGGCTTTGGGATTTGTTTTTGTCCGTTTGTCACCTGCAGTAGCCGAGGGCTAGTGGGTGGGCTGTCTTTCAGGAGCGCGTTGTTGCGGTGGCAGCGAGTCGATGTTTGAGTGTAATTTAAGCCCAGGTGTTCGGGTGCATTTGTTACCACGTTTCAAAGCAAACGCGGCTTCTTCCCTGGGAAACTACTTTGTGACTGAATTCTTACCCGCCTCGTCCTGTTAAATTTCAGGATGTCAAACTTGGCACCCTGTTTCTGGTTTTCGTTTTTCTTAGTATTACCACAGTGTGCAGAGAAGGCAGAGCTGCGTCTTCCTCTTTTATTTTTCCGTAGGTTACTGCTCAGGTGGTTTGGTTACATGGGTAAGCTTTTTAGTGGTGATTTTTGAGAGATTTTGGTGAACCCATCACCCGAGCAGTACAAACTGCAACCTATTTGTAGTTTTTTATTCTTCGCCCCCTCCCACCCTTTCCTCCAGAGTCCATTGTATCATTCTTAGGCGTCTTCCCGTTTCCTGATGGCTTAACCTGGGAAACCGTCGTCCTCGCAGAGGGTGCCGGTACCCAGCCCCGGAGTAGGGGCAGCCGCCCGGGATGTTCAGTGATGAGCCCAATTACTCAGGTTTCCGTTCCCCGTTTGCGTTCAGCCAGGATGCGTCATGGCCACGTTGTTTTTAACATACATGTTTATGAATTATACAGAAACGTTCTTTTCCTGACACACACACATCCTGCTCCCAGTACTCCTCCTAAAAGCCGGTCAGGCAGGTGTCTCCACGCGCAGTCACCTCAGCGCTGGGGTCCACGGGCAGCATCCCGGGAACCCCCGAGATACTTCCCAGCCCCTCCCTGCCTTGCCGCTGCTCTCCACCTTAGCTTTGACTTATTGGGTAGCTCATTTAAAGAACAGCTGTAGGTGCTGGGGTGTGAGATCGCTTGAGACCAGCCTGGGCAACATAGGGAGACCCCGTCTCTATAAAAAATACAAAATACTACCCAGGCATGGTGGCAAGCGCCTGTGGCCCGTTAAAGTAGGTTGCTAGTCAGACATGAGCAGGGCAGAAGAGGGCCCCTCTACCAGGGACATTTGGCTGGTCAGTGAAGGCGGCCTTGGCTGGGCGTGGTGGCTCACACCTGTAATCCCAGCACTTTGGGAGGCCGGGGGGGTGGTGGTGGGCGGGTCACAAGGCGAGGAGTTCGAGACCAGTCTGGCCAATATGGTGAAACCCCGTCTCTAATAAAAATACAAAAATTAGCTGGGCGTGGTGGCCTTCGCCTGTAGTCCCAGCTACTCGGGAGACTAAGGCAGGAGGGAATTGCTTGAACCCGGGAGGGGTAGGTTGCAGTGAGCCGAGATCGCGCCATTGCACTGCAGTCTGGGTGACAGAGCGAGACTCTGTCTCAAAAAAGAAGGCCTAGAGGGAGCGTGGGCACAACTCCAGTAAACTCTGCACATACTTCCTCCCAAGTGCTGGCAGCCGTGCGTGAGGATGGCCTACCCCGAGGGAAGAACTGGGAGAAGTAACACACCCCGGAAGCCTGCTGGTAGAAGACGCGAAGTCAAAGGTCAAACCACGCACTTGATCTCTCAGGTCCCCCGCCTGGCCCTCTTCCAAGGGTGCTTTACTTCCTGTCATTCCTGCTCCAAAGCTTCTTCATCAACTGTTGCTCCTGTTGTAAAACTGCCTGGCTCTCTTCTGCCTCCTGCCGCTCAAATTCTTTCTTCCGAGGAGGGAAGAATTGAGATTCACTGCTGCTAGCGTGCTTTGGTGTCAGAAGTGGGATATGTTCTGCCACTAACAGTCCCAGCTACTCGAGGGACTGAGGCAGGAGGATCACTTGAGCCCCGGAGGTGGAGACTGCAGTGAGCTGAGATCACAAGGATGCACTCCAGCCTGTTTCACAAAGAAAAGAAAGAGCCACCGCTTCTCACCACTCCGGCTGAGGATTGTGTGTGCTGAGATGGAGCATGGAGCTCAGGTGAGCCCGCAGAGCTCTGTTACCTGCAGAATGTATCTGAGTCGCGGCCCCAAAGTATGTCAGCGGTGGCCTCAAATCTCGCCACTTCAGAAGAAAAAATTCGGTGGGGCCGGGCGCGGTGGCTCAAGCCTGTAATCCCAGCCCTTTGGGAGGCCGAGACGGGTGGATCACGAGGTCAGGAGATCGAGACCATCCTGGTTAATACGGTGAAACCCCGTCTCTACTAAAAAGTACAAAAAACTAGCCGAGCGAGGTGGCGGGCGCCTGTAGTCCCAGCTACTCGGGAGGCTGAGGCAGGAGAATGGCGTGAACCCGGGAGGCGGAGCTTGCAGTGAGCTGAGATCTGGCCACTGCACTCCAGCCTGGGCGACAGAGCGAGACTCCGTCTCAAAAAAAAAAAAAAAGAAAAAATTCGGTGGAAGGACATGAGGCAGAAGGAGAGACTGAGGCAAGTTTTAGAGCAGGAGTGAAAGTTGAAGCTTTAGAGCAGGAATGAAAGGAAGTACCCTTGGAAGAGGGCCAGGCTGGCACTGTGAGAGATCAGGTGCGTGGTTTCACCTTTTGACTTAGGGTTTTATACGCTGGCAGGCGTCTAGGGTCTTGCACCCCTTCTTCCCTGATCCTTCCTCAGGGTGGGCTGTCCACCCACGCAGCAGCCTGCTGCACGTGGGAGGGAGCATGCGCGGTGTGGTCACTGGAGGGAGGGAGCATGCCCTGTGTGGTCCCTGGAGGGAGGGAGCATGCCCTGTGTGGTCCCTGGAGGGAGGGAGCATGCCCGGTGTGGTCCCTGGAGGGAGGGAGCATGCGCGGTGTGGTCCCTGGAGGGAGGGAGCATGCGCCGTGTGTTCACTGGTGGGAGGGAGCATGCGCGGTGTGTTCACTGGAGGGAAGGAGCATGCGCCGTGTGCGCCCTGCGGGAGGGAGAGTGCGCCGTGTGCGCCCTGGAGGGAGGGAGCGTGCGCGGCGTGGTCCCTGGAGGGAGGGAGCGTGCGCGGCGTGGGCCCTGGAGGGAGGGAGCGTGCGCGGCGTGGGCCCTGGAGGGAGGGAGCGTGCGCGGCGTGGGCCCGAGGGAGGTGGCGCGTGCGCGGCGTGGGCCCTGGAGGGAGGGAGCGTGCGCGGCGTGGGCCCTGGAGGGAGGGAGCGTGCGCCTTGTGTTCACTGGTGGGAGGGAGCATGGGCGGTGTGTTCACTGGCGGGAGGGAGCATGCGCCGTGTGTGCCCTGCCGGAGGGAGACTGCCTCGTGTGCACCCTGCGGGAGGGAGCATGCGCCGTGTGGTCCTTGGAGGGAGGGAGCATGCGCGGTGTGGTCCCTGGAGGGAGGGAGCATGCGCTTTGTGGTCACTGGCGGGAGGGAGCATGCGCGTTGTGTTCACTGGCGGGAGGGAGCATATGCCGTGTGCGCCCTGCTGGAGGGAGAATGCGCCGTGTGCGCCCTGCGGGAGGGAGCATGCGCCATGTGGTACCTGGAGGGAGGGAGCATGCGCCGTGTGTTCACTGGAGTAGTGCCCATGCTCACCTGAGGCGTTCTTCCCTTGCCTGTCAAACGTCCCTGGAAGGTCATAGACCAGTTACACGCCGCCATTTTGCCTCTCAGTGCACACGCTACCAGTTTCGGGTGTTTTCTAGCTATTGGGAGCTGCCTTTCCCTGGCGCTGGCTGCAACCAGTTCTTTTGGAGAGACAGTTAACAGCCACCTGACCATCACCTGATGCTGGCCTGACTTTCCTGGTGGGGGGTGGGCCCGATCCTGCCCTGCTCCACCTACGACAACAGCCCGACTGGGTGTGCTGAGCCCACGTGTAGGTGGGCAGCGTCTACCGTGCACCTCAACAAAGGGGGATGTCTCCTTCACAGCCCATCAAGGGGTTCACGGTATTTGTTTTCTATCAAAGCAGGAGAGGGGATCTTTAGATAGAGAGGCCTGCGTTTAAGGCTCCCAGACAGTTCTCACTGGGCCCTTAAAGCTACGTTTCACGTTGGCTTCCTTTGCTTGCTCTGAAGATGACCAGCATTAGCTACATGGGTGCAGCGGAAGCTCCAGCCGGCCCTTGGTGCTGTGTTTACCGGGGTTCGGCAGCGTGAGAAGCCCGCCAGCGGGCCCTCCCGCCTCCCTGTGCAGTGACTGCTGCCGGGAGGCTGGCGTTACGGTGAGCGTGGGTGTGGTCTACCCACTGCCCCAGCCGGTGGTTGCTTTTACAGGGTGGTTTTGCAAGATGATACTTACTTAAAATCACAGTGACCTGAGCCATCATTTTTTCATTGAAACGAATTCTTTTTTGTTGTTGAGACGGGGTCTGGCTCTGTCGCCCAGGTAGAGTGCAGTGGTGCCATCGTGGCTCACTGTAGCCTTGACTTCCGGGGCTCAAGAGAGGCTTTCACCTCAGCCTCCCAAATAGCTGGGACCACGGGTATGTGCCACCAAGCCCAGCTATTTTTTTTTTTTTTTGGTAGAGATGAGATCTCACTTCCAGGTTGGTCTTGAACTCTCCTGGGCTCAA